TATTTAAATTTAATAATAAATGTTTATCAATTTCATTAATTGACTTTCCTTGTAATTTCAAAATTTTAAATTAAAATCTCATTAATTTGCTTTGATTATTTTATCTAAATGATTTGTTTAAATTTAAAAGAGAAAAAAAACACTTTAGTTTTAGTAATTCAATATTTTTCTCATTTTTCTTATAAATTTAAATTTCTCAAATGTTTATATATATCTAATTGTTTTAAATACACCCATGTAATACATGGGGCTCACACCTAGTAAATTAATATAAAGCTAAACTAAAAGGAAAAAAATGAGGATAAACAAGTGTGCGAAGATAAACAATGGAATTCTTTTCTCTCTCTACTCTTTACTGTTTCCTCTCTATACACTCATCTTCTTCCTCTTACGTACAACCACCGCCGCACGACGGAAAATCCGTCTGCCACTGGGAAGCATCAGTTTACCTTTAATCGGCGAAACATTCCAACTCATATCTGCATACAAGACGGAAAATCCATAAACGTTTATCGACGTTCAGACCAATCACATTCGTTTCTCACCTTCTCTCTCTTCTTACCAACATAGTGACGAGTCTCTGGTGGTGAGCCCCCTAGAGAGCGCTAGGGGGCGGTGTTCCAAGTTGATTAGCGAGTTTGGATAAGGTATTTGACAAGCTACTCCGCTTAGCCTAATGAATCGTAACCACAACAAACGCACTAAACCCACTCTCATGGATTTACATCATAATATACATGAACTTCGTACACTAGTTCAAGATTTACTGGTTTGCAGAAAAAATATGCACTTCAATTATCTTCATTAGCTACCCTATACATCCCTAATTTTTTTTATTAAAAAACTAGTTTCTATATTTTACAATTATACAAACTAGTTCCAAATAAAACTTTCATCTCATCAGCAATCAAATCCAATCCAAACCAACACAGTGACAAGTCTCTGGTGGTGAGCCCCCTAGAGAGCGTTAGGGGCGGGTGTTCCAAGTTGCTTAGCGAGTTTGGATAAGGTATTTGACGAGCTACTCCGCTTAGCCTAATGAATCATAACCACAACAAACGCACTAAACCCACTCTCATGGATTTACACCATAATATACATGAACTTCGTACACTAGTTCAAGATTTACTGGTTTGCAGAAAAAAATGCACTTCAGTTATCTTCATTAGCTACCCTATACATCCCTAATTTTTTTTTATTGAAAAACTAGTTTCTCTATTTTACACTTATACAAACTAGATTCAAATAAAATTTTCATCTCATTAGCAATCAAATCCAATCCAAACCAACTTTTAACTAAAAACATATATAAAAGAAATTATATCATTATTTAACTTATTTTATGGAAATAAAATATTGTTATTTATGAAATTAGTTTTTGATTATAAATGTTAATGTAATACCGGCATATAATGATGGACACTTGGGTAGATAAATGTGTCACGAAACAAAAGAGCCAACTTGTGGGGTGGTGAGCGGATCTTTATGGTTCTTTTATTTTCTACTTTTATTTTTTTTTAAATAAATAAGTGGTGAACGGTAAAACCCTCAATGGGTATAGTTTTCTACAATGGGTGCGTACGACGATTGCACTAAGCAACACAAGACTATGTTGATTTCTATATAATGTTTGATCAATGAGGGTTACCAAATTTGAATTTCAATTTCGTCCATATTCCAAGTTTGTGTTTGTGTCATGTTCTTACAAAGTGTAAAAAACACAAAGTCGTGTCATGTTATATTTGTATTCAAATTTCGACACAAAGTTGACACAGTATTAAGATATGTTTGTTAGATTAATAGTTTATTTTTTCTTGTTTTTTGTATTAGTAAAATAAAATACAATGATGTGTCGTGTTGTGTTCATGTTATATAAAAAAACTATTATGTCATTTCAGCTAACACTAGTACAAAAATGATCTACGGTCACACTTTCCGAAAAACAACCTATGACACTTTTTCTTAAAAGTGTGGCCAAAGGTCACTAAAAAAATTTAGAAATTGTTTTTGGATACATTTAAATTAGAATGTGTGGTCATTAAATAGACAATCAACACTTTTACCACACTTAATTATACCAAATGTGACAAACATTAGTCACACTCGAAAACTGAGATCATAGGTCACAATCAGCCACATGTATGGATTAAGATTGTCATACTTTTTTTATGAGAGACAATAGATAACAGTATCGTCACATGAGTTAGTTCTCTGTGTGTCTATAACCTGATGCCTTTTTAGCCACATAATAGACAAAGTAGCTAAAAGGTGATACATATGGTCACACTAAATATTTATGTGTCCATAGGGCGGTTATGTACTAGTTGTATTTAGTTTACGCAAGAAATTAAAAGAAGTTAGTATTGGTTACTTATGGTCATTTACCTTTTATTATGTGTGTCAAAATATTATGAATTGGCATTAAGAATAAACAAATATTATGTGTAGGTAGCATTTAGTTACGTTTACAGCTATTATATGTGTCTGTATATAAATATAGTCATAAAAGAAAAATAATGTCTTATCGTTATAATTAATGGTCGTTCATTGCCCTTTTTATCATCTATTCTTTTAATTGCACCAGATAATACACCATTAAAAATGAAAATAATACAACTTATTTTAACAAAATATTATGATAAATAAATGAAGTGAATACAACATAACTTGTTTAACATTGCATAATGAAAGTACATTGCTATTATATGCAGTTTATGTTATAATATGTGTAACAATATAACAGTAAAAAACCGGAAAAAAAATATCTTTGAGTTATAAGAATATTACACCAGAATAGTTTGATGGTATAATATGGTAAAAAGACATTAAGTAAAGTACATCATCATTTTTTGTCATTTTCTTATTCTCCACATAACGATATGCTCAAATTTTGGCATTTCCCTTCTACAAACAAAAAATAAAGATTATTAAGTGTTAAAAGAAGGAAAAATATTATCGCTACAAATGTAATTCATGACATTAAGAAACATGTATTGTACGTATAAGAATACCGTGACAATCATTACGAAAATAATCATTTTCCTTCTGCAAGTCAAGTGTGTCTACACGTGGCAATATGTTATCATTATGAGGAACAATAGTACTAAATTCTTCATCTACATCTTCATATGTATCTTTGTAATTTTTGGGAGGTGTCTTGAACACAATAGACATTTTTTGATCGAGTGGGTCTGTCACGTAAAATACTTGTTGTGCTTGTGAGGCCAATATGAAGGGATCACCTTTATGGCCTAATCTTTTTAGTTCAACTAGTGTGTACCGCAATTTATCCCTTTTTACCCCATTTCTATTGTCAACCCAGTCACACATGAAAATTGGAATTCTTTTAAAATGATAATCTAGTACCTATATCTCTTGTAAAACACCATAATAAGTGTTTTTGGCATATGTTACAACTTCTTTACTGATGTGTGTGTCAGTTGCAACAACACTAACCCCACTGTTTTGGTAAACTTTACCTTCACGAGCTTTTGTACGAAAAGTATATCCATTAATAGCATATACATCGTATTAATAATGTTCTTTAGGTCATGTATGGGTGTTGGTTGCGGTTTTGGACCTCATTAGGTCATGTCCATAGTGTTGGTTGTGGGTTTGGACCTCATTTGGTCATGTACGGGTGTTGGTTGTGGCTTTGGACAACATTCGATCATGTACGGGTGTTGGTTGAGGGTTTGGACCTCATTTGGTCATGTATGGGTGTTGGTTGTGGGTTTGGACCTCATTTGGTCATGTCCATAGTGTTGGTTGTGGGTTTGGACCTCATTTGGTAATGTCCATAGTGTTGGTTGTGGGTTTGGACCTCATTTGGTCATGTATGGGTGTTGGTTGTGGGTTTGGACCTCATTTGGTCATGTCCATAGTGTTAGTTGTGGGTTTGGACCTCATTTGGTAATGTTCATAGTGTTGGTCGTGGGTTTGGACCTCTTTAGGTAATGTATGGGTGTTGGTTGTGGGTTTGGACCTCATTTGGTCATGTATGGGTGTTAGTTGTGGGTTTGGACCTCATTAGGTCATGTACGGGTGTTGGTTGTGGGTTTGGACCTCTTTAGGTCATGTATGGGTCTTGGTTGTGGGTTTGGACCTCATTATGTCATGTACAAGTTGTAAGTGTGTAATACCATATGATAGTCATTAGTTTATGGAGTTACGATATATAAATTATTATTATAAATAATTACACCTACTAGATCATATTATTTTTTTTGTTATATAATAATATTTTTCCCTTGTATATATAATTTTTTAACTTTATATATTTTTTATTTCAAATATTCATAAATGTTTTTCCAAAAAATAAATTGTTAACTTAGAAGGACCAAATATGTAATATTTATATTCTTACCAAATAAATCATACTAATTTTTGAAAAGGCAAGACATGTTTCCAAACCACGATTTTTTCTTCTAATCGTGTGGGATTACTATGAGATCAAAATTTGAAACGCATTTGACTCTGTCAAACGAATTTAAACAAAAACTAATGAGAGGCAAATATTTTTTTGTATGGTTTTTGGGCTCCAAATCAAAGCGGGAAATCTTCATCTACCGCACCGCCAAAACTATGAAGATCAATCCATCGGATGAAGGAAATCCCGATAATTTTTAGGTAACCTCCATCAATTTAGGAAATGTTAAATCATTTTAATATTTAATAGACTTTCATTTATTCCACCATTGTTTTGTTTAGCGTTTGGTTGTATCCCAGAAGGATCATACTTCATTTCATCATTCAACAAGCTTTCTAGTGTAAGTATATTGTTTGTGTACGTATAGTTTCAATGTTATTGAGTGTATTGATCACGGATCATGCATGACACAAAGAATTTTGATTCTTCATATTGGTGCGCTTCTTGCACACCAACTGTTCGATGAAATGTTTATATGAGCAATTGTCTGTAATATTATTTGTTCATACATTATCATTAAAGTTATAAACAATCAAACTTATTTTCAATATGTTTTGTCAACAGAAGAATCATGGAGGTTGACAAGGAACAACATGAGGATATCCCTGGCTATAATACAGAATATGAGCTAGATGATGGAAACCAAGAATATGATTCGCATACAGAGAATGGTGAAAATAAAGACATTCACTACAATAGCCAATCAGATTCGGAAGAAGAAATCCATAAAACAGTTCCTACAAAATCAGATAGGAAGAGGGGCATGACTCGATTGCCAAAACTAAAGACTGAATATGTCAATTCTGGTGGGAAAAAAACGTGTCAGGTTTGATGAATTTGGTAAGTTTACAGGGAAGAATAATGCAGTCTTTGTTAGCTATTTGGGTGATCTTGTCCGCGAGAAGGTGGGATTAAGTGCTCTTTGCTGGAAAAAAGTTAAACCGGAAATGAAGGACAAACTATGGGAAGCGATAACAGTAAATAGCTTCTTCAAATTTTTAATCTATATAACATAATATATGTAAAAATCAAGTTTTAAATACTACCATTATCATTGTTTTTTAGCGCTATTTTGATGTTCATGAAAGTGGAAAACAATTTGTGATTAATAGACTTGGTATTCTTCTACGGAATTTCAAAAGAAAGTTGTATGCAGATTACATCAAACCACATCTAGGCGATACAAATATGCTTGAAAAAATCCCAGTTCGTTATCGTGCACTAATCACTGAACAAGATGATTGGAACAAATTTGTGACTTATACACAATCTCAAGAGTTTAATGTTAAAATCTTTTTTCAAAACTTATTCATTTATTTATCATAATCTGGGTTCTAAAAGTTCGTGACAAATATGTTACTTTTAATTCACAGAATATGTCACAAAGGACTATCAAAGCGAGAAAGATGTCAAAGTATGATCATCAGATGGGACGAGGGGGGTATACAACTCTTAGGAGGAAGTTGGTAAGCTACATGAACTTCATATCATTTTATTTAACATGCTTTTTTTTCATATTCTTTATAATTTAATTTTTTTATCAATATTGAAGAGAATGTGATTTCGAAGGAGGAAATTCCCCTAAGGTCAGTTATGTGGTGTAAAGGGCGTGAAAGTAAAGGAGAATGTAAGGATGAAGATGTTAAAATCATGGCTGATAAGCTAGTAACTTCACTACACTTTTCTTTTTCTTTTACTTTAAATATTTTAATCATTGGTATTAAGACAATAATTATTAATTTTTTGTTTGGCAGATGGAACATGAGAAGCAAATAAAAGAAGGACAAGTAAATGTTGAACCAGGAATGGATGCCGTGACCTTAGTTTTTGGCAAGGAAAAGGATGGATTTTTAAAGGGTGTCGACACGGGAGTCACTTACAACAGATATTTCAATGTTCCTCGCAGCAAATGGTATTTTGGGAAATCACCGTTGGGGCACTGGCTGATTGTACAAACTACTCGTTTCCTCTTTCTCTTAAAATTCTCTTACTCATTTCTAGAAAAATCATTCCTTTTGAAATTTTTTCTCAAATCCTCAGTTTGAGTCCAGACATACTCGAATGTGTATCTGAATCCCTCAAACCAAAGCTTTGATACCAACTTGTAACAACGTAAATTTTCAAACAAAATTTTTCATTTTAAATTACCAGCATCACATATCATAATTCTCAAAAATCTCGATTTTCAATGTCATAACATATTTCAAAATAGTTTTCAAAAGTATTTATCACAATCCAGGATCCATAAAACATATAACTCCAGCTCTGTGGGTGTGTACAATCAAGCTGGTGCTTTCTCGCGATCCTCGAAAGTACATGAAACACATAAACACATAACACGGTAAGTACGAAGGCTTAGTGAGTTCCCCAAATACCACGCACATGTAATTAGTGACTCGAGGATATAGCTCTGTAAGACCCTCCGATCAATGTGTCTCAGTGGGACCCTCCAGTCCTACCACTTGTTGGACACTCCGGTCCGGTCTGGTTGGGACTGTCCAGTCCCATGGTTAGTTGGACCCTCTGGTCCGGTCTGGTTGAAAGCCCTCTGATCTCATAGTCCGTTGGACACTCCGGTCCGGTCTAAGTAACACATAATATAACATACAATACATATCACATAAACATGCATAACTCAAAGCAAGCACATAAGACCCCCTGATCACACATAATTACCACTCTAGGTAAAGTATAGTGAGAAGACTTACCTCAAAGCTAGTAAGAATAAATACGCACTTGGCACTCCCGAACTATCCTCTGCCTAAATACATTACACAAGCATCTAATCAATATATCTCTTTTACTCATTTAACTCTTAAGTTCTCCTATTCCCTTTTTAACTGTCGGGATGGGTAAAAGACCCTCTTACCCCTCCAAGGTTCCAGAAGCTCCTAATTGACCCACTCACAAAGTCAACATAAGTCCAAACGAGTCAATAGTCCAAATCGACCATACTCGAATGCACTAGTACGACTCGTCGAGTCCCATCGTATCTCAAAGCTTCTCAGAAAGTCAAACTTGACGAGCTAACCTTAACTCATCGGGTCATCGCATGACTCAGCTAAATCGGGACAAACCCTAAACTACTCGCCGAGTCGACTCATCAACTCTACGAGTCTATTCAGACTCCCATGCATTCAGAAGATTTCACGGCGGGATTTTTTCCCAAACTTTAGATCTATACTATTAGGGCTCATAAGTCACGTAAAGTCATAAACTTTACGTCCATGCATGGCATCTAGAGCAAGAAATACCAAAAACATGAACAAAAGGGGTTATACACACTTAAAGCTTCACCAAAGCTAGATAAAGCAGGAACCTCAAGGTGTTTGGGACCTCCTAGGGTCCAGATCTGGGGTTTTAACTTCCTTATGACCCTAAATTCACAAAAACCCCAAAAGTGATGAAGAAGAAGAACCCTAATCTACTAAAATGAGAGATCTGCATCAATGGAAGGAAAAAGTCAAGTTCAATACCTCCAACTGAAGCTTGAGCGTGAAAACCAGCAGATCCAACACCCTTCTTTGATCCTCTAGCTTGAAACCCTCTTCTTCCCTGCAAAAACACCTACCAAAGGCTCACAAATGCTCTCTCTCTCTTTCTCTCTTTCTCTCTCTCTCTCACACACACACACACTCTAAGCACTCAAGACTCGTTTAGGGTTTTCTCTCTTGAAGGGTAGCCGCAATAGGAGGCCTTAAGTGCCTTTAAATAGGCCACAGGCCCGGAAAATTTGGTTTTCCTTCAGCAGCGTTGACTCGGCGAGTCGGCTAATGGACTCGTCGAGTCCACTCATTAATCCACGTCACCAGTCGCGACTCTACTCGACGAGTTAAGGCACCAACTCTTCGAGTCACTCCACATATCTCAAAAACAAATACTTAAAATATATACATGGAAATCGGGATGTTACAACATATAAATAAAACCTTCTATTTTCACCAAAACTTACACCTTCATTCTCTAAAAGCACAAAACACATGAACATGGATTCCACAAAACACATGGAATTCTTAAAAACTTTTGACTCGGATGATAATGTAGAATTTGTCGAGACATTCTTCAACGTTGTGAAACACAATCAGGTGGAAGAAAGTTCGAATGTTGCTCGTACAATGGCAAACATCAATCGTGATCGCCAAGCTGCACACGTCTTATTGGTACATGATTACTTTGCCGATAATTGTTTTTATAATGACGACTCGTTCGAACGTCGTTTCCATCTGAATAAGGCTATATTTTTACGTATTAGTAATGCTTTAGAATCTCGTTATGATTTTTTCAAACAAAAACTCAACGTTAAAGGAAGAATGGGTTTTAGTAGTTTATAAAAATGTACGTCTGCTCTTAGGTATTTCAGATACGGTATATCATTTGATGCATCTGACGAATACTTGAAAGTATCCGAGAGGACCGTAGTGGAATGTGTATATTGGTTTTATGCATGTGTGTATGAGGTTTTTCACGAACAATATTTGCGCAAACATACTCAACGTGATATTGTGATATTATAGTCGGCTCATGAAGAGAGGCATGGATTTCCAGGTATGCTTGGCAGTCTAGATTGTACACATGTGGCTTGGGAAAAATGTACAAATGCATGGCGTGGTCAGTTCACTCGAGGAGATATAGGTGAACCAACTATCATCCTAGAAGGTGTTGCATCTCAAGATTTGTGGATATGGTATGCCTTTTTCGGAGTAGCAGGGTCTAACAACGACATTAATGTTCTTGGTCAGTCTCCTCTTTTCAATGATATTCAGATCAGCAAAGCATCTGATATGATGTTCACGGTGAACGGGCACGTGTACAAATATGGTTACTACCTTGGTGATGGGATATACCCGGATTATTCTACATTGATGAAGGCATACTTGGTTCCTCGAAGTGAAAATGCAAAGTTGTTTACAAAAAAAAAAAAAAAAAAAAAAAAAAAAAAAAAAAAAATTGGGGAGAAAGGAAATCGAGAGGGTATTTGGAGTTCTTAAGCAGACATGACATTTAGTGAAATATGCTATATGACTCTGGGATAAAGAAATAATTAAATGAATGGTCCTAGCATGTATTATAATGCATAATATGATTATTGAAGATGAATGTCGAGCGATTTGCACGTATGATCCGAACTACGTTGTTATTCCAATTGAGGAGTTCGTACCAAGAACGAATGAGGTTTTAGAGCGAGTTGTTGAAATTTATAACAGTGAAACGTGTTTCAATCTTCGAGAAGATATCACGAAACATTTGTACCAACGTAACATGAACGAAGATTAGTTTTTTTTTTCTATGTATGTTTGTTTTTTTTAATGAATGTAATGTTATTTTTATTTCTAGATTAATTAAGTAATATAGTTTGAAGTTGTAATTTTATTTTTATAATTAATAAAAACTAGTTAAAAAATGAATGTTTTTTAATTATTAAAAATGTAATTTTATTGTATTTTGAATTCAAAAAAAAAAATAATGATATGGAGTGGTATGTTGGTTGTAGGTATCCCATGTTAGTGGTAGAGAAATATGGTGCTCATGTGACACCCACCACATATTTTATTTGTGGTGTGTATAACAAATGACCTTATTAAAACCAGAAAGCTAATTAATAAATTGTTGCGATGGTGCACGTCAAGTACTCATAATTACAAGAAAATAAGTTATTTTTTTATCATGAAAATATAATAACAATCATTTTTCTCATGCAAATGAAACACTTATCTTGATATTATTACGTTCTAGTTTCTAGTTTCTAGTTTCTACACACTTAATTGTTTGGTTTTTTTTCATACACACTAGTTTACAAATTACACACTAGTTTACAAATTCCATATGTTTGATAACATTCATTATACAAATTATTCATAGGCAAAAACCTACTTAATTACATTGTTTTTTTTTTTAAATCAAATATTACAATTTGCAATCTCCAAAAAAACGGAGAATACTAGAAGCAGGATTGATTCCAACATCAATTTTTTCCACCTTGAAATCGCCCCAAAACATAGGAAAATAATGGGATGAAATTCAAAGTTGAAGTGAGAGGTCGCTAGTTCCTTACATCTAACTAAAGAAATGCGACACCTCACATTAGCTTGCACAAATTTCGTTCACTTTGCTTGCATGCACGTATAAATATACGTATATATACCATGCACCACATATTCTTTGTATCCAAGTGAACTTGAAATTACTTTCAACAATCAATATTCAACATATATAAATAGTCTAATGGCCAAAAAGCTCAATTTTCTCCCCCTCGTTCTTGTTCTTGTTCTTATTACATTCTGTTTCTTGGCTCATGGAATCGAGGCACATGAGACTGGAACCGATGACAACAAGATGGAAGGTTCAAATCCAGAAGGGCCTGGACATAAGGATACGGATAACAAGATGTCAGGACCAAGTCCCAAAGGGCCAGGACATGCGGATATGGAGGACAAGAAGGAAACTAATGGCGGATATAGGAAAGAAAAATTAGGGTATGCCGCTTTTAGTTTAATTATATTCACCGTTTCAAAATGTATGCACGTATTGGAATTCTAGGCTCGACCCATATTGTATAAAACAAAAGAAGGCCTTTCCAATAACTGAAAAAAAAGGTCAAGATTTAACATATGGTCTCTTGAATAAATGTCGAGCTAAGATGTGGAGTCACAAGAAGATTACATCTTTGCTAAATGTTAGGTTGTGGTTGACCTTTGGAATAAAGTTAAGATCTGGTGGGGGGTTTCTCTAACTACTCCAACCTTCGGATACTAAAATGGTTTCTGCGGTTGCTGATTCATGAAGGATGCTAAACCAAACAAGGGGTCATGCATTGTTTGAGTCTATTACACATACATATGGTGTTTGATTGGAGTGTAGTAGGTGTTGAGGTTACAAACTAGATTGGTTGTCCCGATAATTTGCCCAAATATGGCTACCTCTGGATTGTAATTGTTGGAACTATTGTTTCTATTATATATATATATATATATATATATATATATATATATATATATATATATATATATATATATATATATATATATATATATATATATATATATATATATATATATATATATATATATATATATATATATATTTTCTTTGGTTTCTTGCTGGTGTTTAATTTGTCATATAAAAATGTTGAGCTAACTATAGATTTTTTTTGAATGATGAAAACCTACAAGTAACTATCATTAATCTCACCTAATCAAGTTATAGTTAGATGTTGTGATAAATGAAACTTTATTATTATTGTTATTATTCAACATAATTAATATTGCAAAAGTAGTTAAAACCATTGGGCTGATATTAATTGGGCTGAAGTGTTATTATTTGGACGATGACACATTGATTTCTCTTTGATCGTCATTGTCTTCTCCAATTATCATGCTAATACGAAGAACACGAGACTCTTTCTATTAAAATCTTCAATATTTGATTCAAGTCATACGAAATCAGGTTTGATTCGGATCAAAAACTTATATTTTATTGTTAATCAAAAAGTTATGTTTCAAAAAAACGTAAAATTAGCTTCGATCATCAATCAAATTCGGAAAAAAAAAAAAAAAAAAAAAAAACAACACGAAACAAATTGACGTTTTTCCAAATTGAAATTCGAACAAAACCGAATAAAAAAAATTATAGTTGTATATTACAACCATCTAATGCATAAATGATTGTGTATACATTAAAAAGTGTTCTATACAAATCACTACTCAAATTATTATCGGTGATCACTTTTCTAATATTGACAACATATGTTAATTGATTACTATTTTTTCAGAGGAACTAATAATGACTGAATTTAAACGTATATTGGTCGATTAGCAAATTCCATGCTTGTTTATACACCATTGATCGAATTTAATAATATTTTCGGTTTGAGCTATTTATTTTTGACAAAATTACAAAAAAAAAAAGATCAATGTAGTTGTCAAAGTTAGGGTTTTATGTGGAAAAGTCTCATTATTTTGGAAATTTTTTTTGATAAAGTCTTAAAATGTTTTTTTTAACAGAAAAGTCTCATTATTTTGGAAAAATCACATAATCTGTAATTTCCTGCTAAAATATAAAAAATAAAATTTTCGTTAAATGAGTAAAATGTTAAAAAATATGAACTTTTTAGTTCAAAAAAAAACTTTTATGAATTTATTAAAAATTTTCCCAAAATAATGAGATTTTTCTACATAAATCCCTTAAAGTTATGTGGTTTTGACCAAAAAATGTTTGATGAAATACTTTAATTAAATTAAGACAAAATTGCCTCTCTCTCTCTCTCTCTCTCTCTCTCTCTCTCTCTCTCTCTCTCTCTCTCTCTCTCTCTCTCCATTCCACACCACCATTCACCGCCAACCACCTCTATTTCCTCCACCCCCAACTTTTGCCGAGAAAATCAAGACAAAAGCTTTGTCGAGCTCCACCATCTTATCACCATCCACAAAGACCAGAAATGTCGAAAAATCGACAAATTTAAAGAAGATGACTTTGGTTAGAAGGGTTTATTACCTATCGCTTCTTCTTCAGTGTATGGATCAATAGATCGACATGTTTAAAGAACAGATCGATGGTATCTAGTAGTTTACGACAACTTTACAATACAAACTGGAGGTGGAGGACAATGGTGGTAATCGAGGTGGTCGTGGATGGTAGTGACAGATAGGTGGTAGTGTCCATGGTAGATCCCGTTTTTCCAACGGTGATGCTAGGATTTTCTACCATGGAAGGAGGTTTTGTCTAGCAGACAGTAATGTTAGAGAGAGAGAGAGAGAATAATAATAATAATAATAATAATAATAATAATAATAATAATAATAAATGTCTTTACAATGGAGAAATGGTGGGTTAGAAGGAGTAGGGTGAGTATGATTTTTCTTTTTCTTATTTTTTAATTAGAATAAATAGAAAATAATTACAAGAAATTAAAAAGAACTATTTAAACCATCTTCAACCTTTAACACTATTTTTTTACATTATACCTATAACTATAGTATAAAAGATAATGTAAACACTAAAGATCTCTAATTTATTACATTATATTTAACACTAAAAAAACATTTCAAGTATATTGTTCTTTATTGAACATTACACTAAAATTCAATACTATATATAATGTTACACTAAAATCCATATTATATATATTGTTAGGTATAATATAGGTTTGAGCATGTAATTTATAGTGTAAAAGTGATACTTTAGTATAGAATTAGAAATGCCCTTAAGTTTGCTATAGACCAAAACCACAAAAATCATCATTTCAAGTTGGGTATAGCCAAAACCACAAAACATTAAAATAAATAAATAAATAAAAGGTTAAACCATTAGGACCAAAACGGTACAAAACATCTAAAATTAAATCACTAATAAATCACCAAATTTTTTTGGACCAAAACCATATAATTTTAACAACCACTTAGACATTTTTGCAATTTTCTTTTTATTTTATTTTAGCATGATTATTGTAGTTTAATTTATTACAGTTATTAAATAAAAGATCATTTGCATTTGTTATTTATCACGTATAAACATAAAGGTAAAACAAAATCCAATGTTATATAATAACTCAATAACATCTAGATCAACTTAAAATCATGTTAGACGTTATATAATCAACAAATCAAATCATGACACAACCCATGCAAATTTAAGGTGCTTTGAAACATATTCAACACAACAAAATATTCAAACCTACCAAAATGTTCATATCTACTTTGTGTTCTCTAAAAATTTACTTACACTACCAAAAAAAACCCCTACTTCCACAAGCTTTCCCCATTCTACACAAATCAAATACAAATATAACAAAGCTTTTCAAGACACTTACTTGGTCAATGGTTATTCTATAAACAGTCAACACTATCTTCTCATTTCTTGTTGTATAAACTTCAATCAATACCATCATGTTGTTAACATCCCATTGATGTGAAAGAAGATTGATACAGAAAAATGGATTAACATTTCTAAAAACTCCAATCTTCGATTTGGAAAAAGGTCAAATAGTCAATGGGGTTATATGGCACACAAGAAGATTAAGCCATGGTGTTTATTTTCCAATATATGCATACCCTTTATTGAGTAAGTGGCTAAACAATATAGAAGGTAGACAATCTCCATGATTTATGAGATATAATATAAATACCAAATACGCCCCCGTACATGTCATGGCCAAAAATCCAAACAAGAACCCGTTGACCTCAGCCACAAAAAAGTCAAGCAAAAGGTACCCATTGATCACCATCACTAAAGCAGCTACACTCCATGCAATTCTCTGATTCACATTCAATAAAAAATATATATCAATAATCCCATTTATGTGTTTAAGATATAAAATAAAAGTTAAAGAATCATCATAATTCATAATACCTCTAAAGTAGGTCCAATCTTGAAGACACCCATGACTTCCTCTTTAGTCACCAAGGTCAAAAGTGGAATAAGTGCAAAAGGGATCTGAATAGACTGAAGAACATTAAGCCATTCATTCAGCACATCAAGTGAAGCTTCTGATTTGTTGAAAACAAGAGCTACAATCATAGTTGGAACAATTGCACAGCTTCTAGTTATCAAAGCCCTCAACCATTTCTTCAACCGAAGGTTAAGAAATCCACCCATGATAAATTGACCAGCATAAGTACCTGTGATTGTACTACTTTGTCCAGCTGCTAATAACCCAATCCCCCAAATATACAAAACTGGCATAAACCCTCCTCCATATTTCTTTTCAAGATATTGTCCAGCATTCACAAGCCCTATACTATCAGCTTGTTTAGTTCCATAAAACCCTTTAGCAAATACAGTAGTTACAAATAGATTGATCATGAAAGAAACCAAAAGGGCAGCAGATGACTCGATTGTGTAGTAATTGATTGCTTCTTGTACTCTTCCTTTCTTCTTTGGGTCGATTTTTCTTGATTGGACTAAAGCAGAATGGAGGAATACGTTGTGAGGCATTATCACGCATCCTACTACTCCAACTGCTTGTCTGATTGTTCTTGAGCTGAGTTTTGGAACCAAAAGACCTGTGATTCATGGGGTGTAAAGATGAGTGATTTGATTATTATGGGTGGAATGTTAATTTGTTATAGATGTGTTAACCTATTAGAAGTTCTTTTCCACTAGGTTGTGCATCAGCAAACATCCATGCAAATGATAGTCCCATGGTTGAGATGAGAACTGCAAAAACAGCTTCCAAATTCCTCACTCCATAGTTCTCAAGAAGTAAAAACATGAAACTGTTGATGAAGGTGATTGAAAATAACAATAGTTAAAACAGGAATCAAGAAGGGGAATTGGTGGATTACAATGAACAGATTCGAAGAGGTGATTGATGGTGAGATTTACATCATATTCATTGTATTTTCTATGTTCAACTCATATTCTATTGGGGTTTCAGATGCATATTCTACAGGGTTCTTCTCAGAATCTTGGTTAATCATCAATTTTCCCTTGAAAACGCAATGGATATATATTCTAAAGCCGAATTATACGATCTAGCAGGAAAAGTAATAGTAAATCTCATAACTTTACAGCAATTCTAATATCTAGCAGTGTATCTCAATTTTCACATCGAAGAAACAGAGATGTGAGAGTGGGGTTAAGGAGAAAACTAACCAATCAGAAGCAGTGATGATGACTCCAACCCAAATCGGAAGAACCCCATTGCTAAGAATCTGTATAGCAATGGCACTGCCAATCACTTCTTGAATGTCAGCTCCAATTAACGCTATCTCGGCCATGAACCACAACAGCAATCCAGCCCACTTAGGATATTCCTCTCTACAAAGCTCCGCAAGGTGCTTCCCCGTAGCCACCCCAATCCGGGCGGACAACAGCTGGATCAGGAGACCCATACCCGTCGCCCACATCAACAACCACAACAGAGAGTAACCAGCAATGGCACCAGCCTGAAGATCCCCCTCTAGGTTTCCCGGATCTAGAAACGCGATGCTCATTAGAAACCCTGGCCCCGTAAATAACCATAGCTTCTTCCACGAGAACGGTGGCGTAGAGTTGCAATCAGCTGAATCAGAATATGAATCTAATCCGTCTATTATGATCTTTTCTTGAGACTCGTACGCAACGTCTTCGTCATCCGAGGTGCAATTGTTGTTAGGAGTGGTGTCGGTGGATAAGGGGAGGGGTGATTTGGAGATTAGTAGGAGGCGTTGATCTTCTTCTTCGCCTTCAGATTTTGACTCCGTATTGAGTTCCTCTAGAGGCGGCGGAGGAGAATCGTGGATCATCTTAAAGATTCGCCGCCGGCGGGAAGAGTTGACGACCGGAGCCTGAAAGATAAGACGTTTATTGTTATTTTTACAAGGAAAAGGAATATAGATTGATTTACGAATAGAGCTCGTTCATGTATGTGTGCGTGTGTGTATATCGTGAGAAACGATACTTCAAATAAATTTTATTTTATTTTATTTTATTTATAGAAGATTTAAACATAAATTATAAAAACTTGTAAACTTCAAAATTAAATTATGATACTGGTCGTATCCCATTTCAACTAGGAAATTATCCCGGTTTTACGTGGTTCTTTTTGGTAAGATCATATAGATTATTATTATTATTATTATTATTATTATTTCATTCTGAATGATTAATTGATAGATAAAAATATATTTTTACGTTTAAATATTTTTGATATAATCTATTGCTTTGATTCAGTTGGCCTCAAACTACTTCATTGCTCTTATAAAAACTTTGAGATGGAGTTGATATCATACAATACCTTATGAGTTTTATATAAGGTTATTGTAACTATAGCCCAACCCTCAATTTCATTCCATTGGTGATTATCTCTATTATTCTCTTTACTCTTTGTTCCAACACCGCCACTAATCCATCATCATCTGCCACTAGAGTCGTCCACCTGGTTTAGGAAAAAAGATTTCAGATCCAGTTTGGGATTTTAAGCTATCGAATCGGTTAAATTTATTATACTTTGTAAAGCTCTTTGAGGGTACATGGAAGATTGGCTCATTCGACTCGATTTCAAATGATTTCCAATATGATATATAGACCAACACTCCTACAAGTGTTCTCCAACAAAAACATAGTTTCCTTTGATTAATGGGTCTAAGCTCTGACGAAAACGATTAGATTTTATGCAATAATGCAATTGACGATGATGTGGTGATACGGGAAATCGAAATCAAAGATAGAGTTATTCAGGCTAGCAGAGTTGTGTTGAGAACCCCCATCGAAGAAGATAAATACACCACCACCACCTAGAAAAGGGTGAATCGCCGCTGCCGCCACCTCCTCCAAAATGAATTACTAGAAAACTTGACGCCTCTCATGTCGGACAGATCTGTACTACCTCCTACTCTTATGAACCTCGAAGGTGTGAAAGTTTCATCGTTACAGAGCAAAAGGGTTCGTCTGATTTGAAAGATTTAACTAATTTAAGATATTTGTTTCTTGAGCTTTGTTCTTTCGGCATTTTAAATGGTAAATTTGTGTTTACAAATTGAAAAAAGTATCGAGGGAAATGGATTTGATTTCCAACGGGGTTAATCAAATTGTAGGTTCGTAAATTACATGAAGAACAACCTGGGTGTTTGAAACATCCATTTTGTGCATAGAAAATTACCTAGAAGATTGAATTTCGAGGAGGAGAGAAAAGCGAAAAGACAAGCAAGTCGCAAATTTAAAGACTATTTTCTTTAACAAACTTGACCCATCCATTTGTGATTCAATATTTGTCTTTGATTTTAATGTGTTTGATGCTCCATTCAAAAACATATTTGTTTTTGAAAACAATTGTTGCTCTCTTGTTGTTGTCTTTTTCTAAATATTTCTAGGCAAAAGCAAGCAGCAATGGCGGCAAAATATGATGAATAATTGAAGATCTATGTAATGAGAAGCAAAAAATGGTTCGTTTGAGAGAGAGGTTGTTGCAGTTGACTAAATGGGCATAATAACTTTTTGCTTATGTGGCAACGATAAGTCGACTCACTACCGAGTCATTGTTGACTCACCTGTTTGGCTGACCGTTAACAAGGCAATATAACAATCAAAATAGGTAAAAGTACGGAATTAACCGATAAAATATAAGTTCGTAACCTTCAAAAAAAATCATAATGACCATTTAAAGTTTAAACTAATATACGAAACATTGTTGGATTATAGTGATAATAACCATTTTATATATGATTTAATTTAAAATCATTTTCAACTTTTATAAGTCAGCATATAAGATTAATATCATAAAATATTCTTTATTATTCGCAGATTGAAGAAAATACTAGAAATTTTGTTTTTAATTTCACATGTTATTATGTTAAGCACCTTAAAACCGGGTCCCCTAGGCCTTTACTTCTTAATAGGCTCCGGCATTGGCCTAATGGTCCAGACAATAAATACATTGACCATTATCAAACATTTGATATATATATATATATATATATATATATATATATATATATATATATATATATATATATATATATATATATATATATATATATATATATATATGGGAGGGTTCAATTGAGAAAAAAAAAAGTTAAGAATGGGGGAATCATTCTCAGCCAATCATTTATTTTTGCCGCAAAATCGTCCAACGTACCTGCGGAAATGAGAAAGGAATGAACATGTGTTTTCCAACAAAAACATATTTCCTTAAACTATGCTAATCATTACCTTAATATATACAAAAACATAGTTTTTTTTTCGTTTTTTATAAATTTTTAGAAGATATTTTTATCAAAAAATGATTTTAAATATACCAAAATTCATGATTTTTTATTCTCTACAAATACACATCCATATTGATATAGTTTTAAGATAAAATAATTTTTTTTTTATATTTTCAGCTATCGTTATTCATAAGTGAATAAAAATGCATCATGTTTTATTACAGTACATTCATTATTCACTTATGAATAAAAAGTATGATTTTTTTTTTACAATTTAAGTATCATTCATATATGAATATAACATATAATAAACATAGTATATTCATATTTTAATATTGAACGATGCATTCACTTGTGAATATTAGATGATATATTCACTTATGAGTATTAAAGAATATTTTATATGTGAATATTACATAATATTACATGATATATCAAATGTGAATATTATATACTATATTCACTTGTGAATATTACATACTATATTCACTTGTGAATATTAGATGATATATTCACTTATGAATATTACACGGTATATTCAAATATGAATATTACAAGGTATATTCACGTGTGAATATATTCATTTATGAATATTCGAAGGTATTTTGACAAATATATATAATTTTTATATGTTATTCACATATGAATAACATACAGACTTGCATATTTGTTTTATGTTTTTAATAATCATATACTCATTTAGGTGAGAAAACATATTCATATGTGAATATAACGTGGTAATTTAGTTTATGCATTTCATCAAACAGTTGGAGTGCATACAAGTTAACTATTTTAAAAATCTTAAAAACATCGAGTTATCAATTCCAAATCATCATATATGTCCGATTTCGACTTCAGATGCGACATCCTATGTCTAATCGAAATCTCATTTTGATTTTGATTTCCAAAAATCCGATTGGGAACCTGTGAGTACTGATTCTGAATCCTTCAATGTTGACGGTGACTGCGAGTCCAGAACTCCGATTCCAATTTCATGAACAATGAAGAAATTCCGGTTTAGTTGAAGAAATTTGGATGATTATTGAAGGTTGGAGGAAAATTTATGATAATGAACGAACTGTTATCGATACGTATTTGAGATTGAAGGTTATTAACATATTTACAAGTTTGCCACCGTGTCTTTTTATGCTTAAATCAAATGAGTGGCTGAGAATGATTCCCCAATTCTCAACCTTTTTTATTTTCTCAATTGAACCCACCTTTAATAGACAATACTAATCTCTCCGAGGGAGAGCTTAAGTAAACTAGTTCCAGTAAATACACACATACACTTATGAGAACATGAACTATGATCACATAAATAGAGATCAATAAACGTATTGATCCTGACATAAAATTCACAAATATTTTGTAATTGTATAGAAAAACCACAATCATGAACTTGCTTAATAGATAATAGCCCACATGACAATCGAATCACACATGAAACAGTAGCTTCTCCATCTATAAACGTGGTTTACACTTGGCTACAAGTGGTTCGGCCTTAGGCATGTTGAGCCTAAAACCTTCGGTCATATCAATCATCTTTTCACTCACCCTTTCCCACTCAAAGCATTGAACAAGCAACCCCAAAGTTAACCCAATTAACCACATTGCGAGCCCTTCCCCAGGACAACTCCTCCTTCCTGACCCAAATGGCATAAACTTAAACCCGTCTCTTGTCCCCTCCAGCCCTTCAAACCTTTCAGGGTCGAATCTTTCCGGATCAGCCCATATATTCGAATTGTAATGTATGGTCCATTGATTGACAAGTAGCATTGTGCCACTTGGGATTTTATAGCCGCCGACAATACAATCTTCTGATGACTCGTGAGGGACGAGTAGTGGGCTATTATCGTATTTCATGACTACATTTATATTTCCAATCGAATGAATTATCGTATCATGGATTCTAGATAAGTCTACAAACGAGTGGAATCACAAGTGTTGTGATTTTTGAGTTTAATTAGCTTTAAGATCGAATTCATGGAATGAGATACAACTTCAATATGTACAATATTATGCTGGTTTTGCAGACATATCACCATAATATACATTAAGGTAAATGTTTATGTTGATAAATATACCTCTCATATACAATCATATCCTTTTGAAGAGAGGTGTTGACATCTAACCACAGTAAGCATAGCATAGACCATGTTTTAACGAAGTTACCCCTCTGAAATGCTCTTCATATACGTTATAGCCAAAGGAGGTTGCAGTCTTTGATAATTTCGCAACTTTAATTTCATTTAACTTTTTGGGGAAAATGACTCAGGAGGGTAACCAACTTTTGCGTTTGTTCTCATTTGGTCCCTTTCCTTTTTTTGTACTCAATATACCATCGAACTTGTTATTTGTGTTCACCATAACCCTTTGACTGGCTATTTCAGGTCAAAAGCCGGTCAAAAGGGTTATGGTGAACACAAACAACAAGTTCGATGGTATATTGAATACAAAAAAAAGGGACCAAATTAATACAAACGCAAAAGTTAATTACTCTCAAGAGTCATTTTCCCCATAATTTACAGCGTAAAGACCTGATGGTACTGAATACTACTGCAAATTATCTCTTAATCACTCAATATCCTAGTCAAGTTCTAGTGGCTTAAGTCTTGGTATCCATGATGCATATGAACTAAGAGAGTCAGGTCGGGAAAACCTAGTGAGATACATAGGGATTTCAATATCATGATATTGATATGATAATATTCCATAATTACTAGACCTGCAAACCAACCGTTACCATACAATAACCATTCCTACTGGTCGTCACAAATACTAGAATATCCATTTCTACAAATCCTCACAGACCGTAGTATGTGATTATCAGGGAGAAATTATCTCACCTGATGAATCGTTGAGATTAGCTACACCACTAAGGCTTCCTTGATCAGTACCACTAGGGCTTTCTTGGTCAGTGTAAGTCATATATATATATATATATATATATATATATATATATATATATATATATATATAGATAGGTTCAGATGTTTTTGACAACTATTGTGTGACTGTGTGCACCAATAAGAATTCAGGAAATAATTAATTATTAAATAAATCATTTAAGGGTATTATAGTAATCTTGACATATTTAAATATGGTAGATAATTAATATGTTCTTTATTATTCCTTTAAATATGGGATGTAGTCGAAATCTGTTGAAAAAAACCCTAGCCAATCACGTATACATCGATTTATCCTCCCTCTCGTTTTCTTAGCATTGGTCCCTGCTATTCAGTGGGGTTTCGGAGGTTTTGGGCTACTGTAGAAGGGAAGATGTGCTAGAGGTTTGATCAGAGGGCATCAGAGGGCAGGAGGGGTTCCGATGGGGCAAAGAAATCAACGATGAAGTCGAATATTCATAGGCCTTGATCGATGGGAACAGAAGAGAAAGAAAGCGAGGGGAGGAGGTATCGATCTCCGATGAGTGATTAGACCGAAGAACAAAAGGAGAAGCAACGGGGTGGGGCTGTTGCTCCGATCGAAGCAGGTCAGGAGGTGGAGAGGATGTGGTGGTGGTCGCCGATTCTTCTTCTCCGGTGAAATCTAGGTATTTTTTTTATTCATGTCTTCCGATTGATCACAAAATAAACTTGTTGAATTTTATCAAAATTTATACTTTGAAGATTACATCCTATTAGAATAAGTTACAATTTTTTTAATGTTTGCTATATTCTATCAGAATTACAACCCATAATGCCAATTTAAAATATTATATGCATTCTGCCAAAATTTAAAATGGCATATATATATATATATATATATATATATATATATATATATATATATATATATATATATATATATATATTCTGTCAGAATAATGGTAGTGCAGTAATGGTAATTGCACTTTAGAGTAAATGATTCTTTTAGAATTTGTGTTTGCCTTTTTTGTAATAGATTTGCTATGATATTTTTCCACAGAATGAACATGTTCAGTAAAGTCATTCTTAAAGAATACGATATTTTTTTTAACCATTCTTAGTTTTTGTTGCATTTTTTATAGGAATTGATTGAAGAATGGTTTGAAGACATGATAGGAAATGTTTGAAGAATGAATCAAAGATTGATCATACTCACATTTTAAGAATCTTGTTATGTTTTAAACAATTACACTTGTCATTCTTTCAGAATTTTGTTGTTATTCAAGAATGTTCTTTGTATCACAATCATACAATGTAATTATTTGATATATTATTAGTGCAAGAAGACATGTATTCTTTATAAAATGTTAGTGTTGATAATATGTAATATAATTCTTTAAGCATGTTAATATATATATAAATATTGAATATAATCATATTCTACAAGAATAAAATAAAAAATATATTTACTAGTTTATGGTTGATTTTCATGTCATTCTAACAGAATGAAATCGGATATTATTAAAAATTATATTCGAATTAAATTTAAAAAATTCATATTTTTAAAAATAAGGGTATTAATTATCCCTTAAAATTTGGAAATTTCCTTTTTTAATATAGGTTAATTGACCAAAATACCCTTATGGTGAAATTTATGTTATTATATGGTACATGTTACCCTATTTTAATATCATAGACCCTCAGATCAAGATCATTGATTCTATTTCATCCGTTGATCCAGATTTGTGCATATGGGCACACAATAGATGTCAAGAACATTTGAACCTAGCCCTATATATATATATATATATATATATATATATATATATATATATATATATATATATATATATATATATATATATATATATATATATATAGAGAGAGAGAGAGAGAGAGAGAGAGAGAGAGAGAATATGTCCTTTTTATTTTATAATATTAATTAATATAAACAAGTAAAAAATTAAAAATGATAAAATTATCTTTTTATCCAAATAGGACTATAGTTGTAATTTCTCCTATCAACACTATCAACATTCATGGTTTCTATCAACTTGATAAATTTTGGTTTAAACCCGACAAAATGGACCAAACTAAGGGCTAGTTGGCTATTTCTATAATTTATTCTTTTTAATATGTTTTAAATATATAAAATATGTCTGGTTTCTATTTATTTTATATTCAAATTATGTTGAATCCGTAAGATATATGCATGAGCGAACCTATAAAGTGTCTTTAGGGATTTTGTGCAGCTATTCGATATATTTTTTTTTTATTAGTGTAAAAAATATTAATTTGATTAGTGTGCACCAACAACATTATATATATATATATATATATATATATATATATATATATATATATATATATATATATAAACTCTAAAAATACGATTACAGTTAAAAAAACATAATTTTAAACCTAAAATCATAACTAAAATATCATTCAAATTACGATTAAAACCACATAACAATCCTAATTAACCCAAATATTTCTTCCTAATTTGTTCCTTCATCGCTTGTAGTACCGCTAGATCAGCAGGTGTCAAACTCTCCTCGTTTGTCTGAAAAATTGACAACTGATATATCATTATTTCCCTCTCTTTTTGCTCCTGTTTCCCGTCACGACGTTGTCTTTGTGTGCCACATCACCCGGTTGCTTCTCGTTATTGGCTCATACCGCATGCTCTTATAGATAGAAGTGTGTTGGGGGTGATGCACGACGTGTTATAAGTTCGAAACATACTCCTTACATTTCTTTCACTTTATTTTCGCAGACATAACGACGCTCAAACTTTTTATTACGTGCATAAAAATAAAGCAATATAGTTGGATAATCAAATGATTCATTAATATAGATGCTGTAAACAAACAAAACTTAATTTACAAATCGACCAATGATGTATTCATTATTTCGATTACAATTTATCATACAAAATATCTATAATTTCAAACCAAAAACACATTTCACAATTGAGAAAGTAAATTCTTCATCTCAAGCCGTGGTTTGCACTTAGCTACAAGAGGTTCAGCCTTAGGCATGGTAAGCCCAAGACCTTCACTCATATCAACCATCTTTTCACTCATTCTCTCCCACTCAAAACACTGAATCAATAACCCTAAAGTCGACCCCATGACCCGTATAGCCAACCCTTCCCCAGGACAACTCCGCCTTCCCGACCCAAATGGCATCAACTTGAACCCGTCTCGTGTCCCTTCCACCCCTTCAAATCTTTCCGGGTCGAATCTTTCCGGGTCGGCCCATATATTCGGGTCATGATGTATGCCCCATTGATTGACAAGTAACATTGTGCCACGTGGGATTTTATAGCCCCCAACAATACATTCTTCTGATGACTCGTGTGGGACTAGTAGCGGGCCCGCTGGGTACAATCGTTGGGTCTCGTTTATGATACAACGGAGGTAAGGGAGGTTGATCACGTCTGATTCATCAATAAGTCTGTCTGTACCAATGACTGTATGGATCTCGTTTTGTGCTTTTTTTAGGACTTGTGGGTTGTTTAGTAGAAGTGACATTGCCCATTCCATTGTTCCTGCTGACGTGTCAGTTCCGGCTGATAGTAGGACCTAATCACCAAAATCATATAATTGAATTGTTTGTCATATGTTTGGTTTGGTTTGTCATATGTTTGGTTTGGTTCGTGGTTGATGGATCTCAACATTTATAGGATGGGTGGAAGTATTTAATTTTTTTTTTACTATATTCAAATTCAAAATTCAAAATAAATAATTAAACGACGATAAAAGTTATTCAATTATTTTTAATCTTTTTTTATTGCTAACCAAACACCTGAATTAACTCCCCGGGAATATGACTTATCAAGGTAATTAACTTTTCGGTATGTTTACATCTGGGTAACTATCTTTTTTTTGTACATATGTAGGTAACAAACTTTTTGGAAGTGTTCACATATGACCATTATGACCTGCTATAGCAGGTTAAATCCTAGATGTGAACACTTTCAACAAGTTTGTT